GCCTTTCCCTAGTTTCAGGGTCCAAAAGGCTGTCTCTGTGGAGGTGGTATCAGAGCCAAACGTTGGGTAAGGAAGAGAGTGAGCCCGTGTAGATCCACGTGGCAAGTGTGTCAGATAGAACAGCAGATGCTCCATGAGTGATGGCTGAGCTCAGAGGAGTGGATGTGGGCCAGACCACTTGGAATCGTGGGCCACAGTGGGAGCCCACGTGGCATGGGATGCACTGGCCCTGGGGGCCAGTGAGCAGAGAGATGGGCACAGCCTGAACTGCTGGGGAACAGCACCTTTGATGGGCGACAGAGTTTTGGCCTGAGCAGCTGGGTTGAGGTGCCATTTCCTGGGATGGGCAAAGCAAGGAAGAGCTCTGGGGAGGAAGTGAAAAGCTGAGGTTTGGAAGCGTTCGTGTGTGAACCGGGATCCTGTACTTGAGGTGAGGGCCTGTGTGAGGTGGAGGGAGACACACATTCTTTGGCCGGGAGAGAAATTCAGGAATGGGTGTTGACTCTATAGACATGGAGAGAAAAGGACCCCTCAAGGGTGGCCCCACCTTTCTTCCTCTCATTTCTGGAGCAGAGATGAGGAGTCTGTGCAGTGGTGACCCAAGAGGCATGAGGGCGAGAGGGAACAGTGGCCAGTGGGAGCAGGCACATAGGAGCCCCTGAAAGCCTCAGTGGGCATGGTGGAGTGGCTGGCAGTGAGCATACTCCCTGCCACCTCTGTCCCCTCGCAGGACGCTGTGCGTATCATGGCAAGAGACCTGGTGCGCACAAGGCGGTACGTGCGAAAGTTTGTGTTGATGCGGGCCAACATCCAGGCTGTGTCCCTCAAGATCCAGACACTCAAGTCTAACAACTCAATGGCACAAGCCATGAAGGGCGTTACCAAGGCCATGGGCACCATGAACAGACAGGTGCGCCTCTCCCGATCCCCCTCCCTACCCCTGCTAACCTCAGGGGCCAGACTCACCCTCCTCCCACTTCCAGCTCAAGTTGCCCCAGATCCAGAAGATCATGATGGAGTTCGAGCGGCAGGCGGAGATTATGGACATGAAGGAGGAGATGATGAACGATGCCATTGACGATGCCATGGGTGACGAGGATGATGAAGAGGAGAGGTTTGGAGACAGGAGGCAGGAGGGTGGGCACGGATGCCTGGCCCTCCGGGTGCCTGGCCCTCATAGTTCTCTTTTTACCTAGTGACGCTGTTGTAGCCCAGGTCCTGGACGAGCTGGGGTTGAGCCTGACGGATGAGCTGTCAAGTGAGTGTCCAGACCCTGGGCCCTGTCCTGCGCACAACTCAGCCACCGCGCACACCCTCCCTCTCCCAGCATTACTCCTTCCCGCAGGGGCTCTCTTCCTAACCCCCCTTCTCTGCAGACCTCCCCTCCACCGGAGGCTCCCTCAGTGTGGCTGCCAGTGGGAAGAAAGCAGAGGCTGCCGCCTCTGCCCTGGTCGATGCAGACGCAGACCTGGAGGAGCGGCTCAAGAACCTTCGAAGGGACTGACTGCACACACGGCACACCCCCGTGCCACCCTAGGGAGCCAGCGGAGGGCCCAGCATTTTCGTTGTACCTTCTGCAATAAAAGAAGTTGGCCACTAGTCTTGGGCCTGTGTGAGTGGCCTGATGTGAGCCAGGCTGGGTTAGGGAGTCCGGTGACGGGACCGACAGGAGTTGCTCAGGCAGGGCTTGGTAATGTGTGGCAGATTAGTTGGGGTATAAGACAGAGGGCTGGAGGTTTTCTCGTTTTGGCGGGAGTGGACAGACCAAGCCCACCCGTCTTCAGGGCCTGGGATGTGAAAATGAGCAGCAGACACTGGCCCAGCACCCCCAAGAAGGCAGGCTCCCCAGACATCCTGGTAGCATCCCAGGAGTCCAGGCCTGTCCCCCAGGGATACACTGCCCAACTCCGCTTAGCCCAGCCCACCCAGCTCCCAGTCCAGGAAGCTCTCGGGGGGGAATGAGCTGCCGTGCAGCACCTACCTGGGGATTCACCCTGCCTGCCCACAGGTTAGCCGGGGTCTGCCTGTCTGCCTGCCTACCGGGTGACCCTCCTGCCCACCAGACACTCCCCAGATCGCAAAGGGCCCAGGAGGGATGCTGCTCCCCACTCCCTGGACACCCAAGTGGCTGGAGACAAGTGCCCCACCCCCATCTGGCCCAACAGGGTTTGGTGAGCGATCGATAACAGCCAGAGACCAG